CGTGCTGGCGGATCTTGGGACATGTTACAAAGGCCAAGGAGCTTTATGGCTTGATTGCAAACCGATATACTCTTTTTGTAATTGCCAAGTTCCATACAGCACCTTGCTTCAAGGTAGAGTAACATTGCATGTTGGTAGAAATCTGCCAAAGTACTGGCCAGCCTCTGGGATGCACATATATGCAGTTGTGCTGTGGAATAGTTACCGAGAATGTACTGGATCCATGCAAGGTTATCCAATGCCTCGGAGTGTCGTCTGGTGTTTCCGGTGCAAATTGCGAGGGAGAGGGCAGTTTGACCGTGTGTTTTGGCTACAGGAAGGTTAAGTTCCTTGTCTCGATAGTACCATGAGACCTTGAGATAGAATTGGCCTAGGAAATCATGTGAGATTGATTTAAATATCATTAGTTGAGTCATACATTTAAGATCCCCATCATTCAAGTCTTCAAAATGTTCCATAGCCTGGGAAATCAGGGTTTCTGGGTTGGAAATAGGATAATTGTCCCATGATGCGAATAGATGAGTAATATAGTACACCTCCAGCCGAGCACTACAAGACTGTAGAAAGATTCTGGGAATTTGCATGAATGCAGGAAGTCTCCCCTGGCCTGTAATTAAACTGAAGGAATTTAGGTAACACAAGCAGTAAATGCTATTTTCTAGATCGGGGTGTCCCTCTTGTAGCCCTTTCAAAATCACATGCTGTATATTTGCATAGTTTGATGCAGTTCGATTCCTTATTCCAGAATTTGATTGAGTTCCACTATACTTTGTATAAAGCTCCAGTAGTTCCTCAAAGTGTTGAAGAAGTAGCCGAATAAGATGATCTTGAGGAGGCTGAATTTTGTGAACATATTCTCGAATAGGCATCAACACCTTGGTTCGTTTCTGCCTATCAGTGTAAGCAAGGGCAGTGCGAACCAATGCTGTTTTGCATTCAAGGATATTCGGAATTGGAAGCCTGCTCTGCAATAACTCTGCATCTGATAGCCCATCAGGAAGTATGGACAGGAGGCTCAAAAGCTCTTGTGTCCCAGGGACTGTGTTGATTCTTGGGCTCAACAGAGACAAGGAAATGGATAACTCAAGATTGGATCTCCGGTCATGACCAGCTGAGATCAGAGTTGTTTTCTCTTGCTCCCAGCGAGCAAGGACATCTGAACAGCCTTCCGAATCAACAAGATGGGCAAGCAGATTGATTGCAAGTGGCATGTTGTCTGCTAGGGACAAGATTTTGTCAACCTCACCTTGGTCAAGCCCATCGGCAATGTCATGAAATGTTTGCAGAGCAGCATCATGTTCCAAAGGTGTTAAGGGCTGTAAAAATGGTCGACTCCAGGAAACCTTGGCTGGCCTTTCTGCTCCTCGCATTGTAATCTTTGACAGCATGAGGACATAGAAGAAGTCAGACAATTGGTACACACCATCAATGCAAGATGCTTGACATCTGTGAGCAAGGACAGAAACTCTTCAACATCTCCTCGTGACTCCCTAGGTTCCCATGGTGTTTCAAAATTATCCAAAATCAAGAGGGTAGGTAGGCTTCGCGAGAAGTGGTCCAAAACAGGTTGAGTGAGATCTTTTCCTGACTTCAGTCCCAAATGAGCACCTATAAGAGCAGCAAGTTGGACTCCAGTTGTAACCGAATCACAGGCAACAAAGAAGCGCAGCAGGCCATATCTTGCCGTAATTTCTGGGTGATGTATAACAGCTTGTGCCAGACTTGTTTTGCCCATTCCACCTGCACCCAAAATTGCAATATGAGGTGTGTTTTGATGGAAGAGTCGTAGAATATCAGAGAGTTCTGGATCTCGGCCATGGAATATTTTGGGCTCTGATGGGAGCATTGAGATCGAATTGGAGCTTGGTAATAAACATCATGTGAGCTCCTTGTTGAATACAAATTTGATTCTGACCTGTTGTATGAGCAAGAATAAACTCCACTGATCTGTACACAGGTTGTAAAAGTCAGTGGTTGATTCTCAGAAAAATCCCAGCCTCTTACTGTAGATGCTCGATCTGAGCTTGTGTCAGAGAATGCTTGAATCATATCAAGTACTTCTTGGTGTCTCTTCTCTGACTCTTTGTGCAGCTTTTCAATGTCTCTCGTGAGATTGACACTCTTGATCTGCAAAATATTTTCTCTTTAGGAACTGGGCTCATAACAACTGTGGTGCTTACCTGGAAAAAATCAATTCCTTCCTGCAATCCTGTCTTGCACTCCTTGAGCAGGGTATTCATTTCACCCTGACGGAAAAACCTCTGGATTTTACTGTTGTTCTGCTGTGCCTCAACAAAGGTATGAATCTTGTGGAGGGTCCTAGATGTATGTTATCACCATGACTAAAATTCTACCACAATCAACATACTCGCTGAATTTCCCCATGTGGTTCAAAACATCCACTGGCAAGTCACCACCTGTGTCCGACTTCGTGTGGGCAATGATAACTGCATTGAGCAAGTCATGAGTTTTCTCCATTAACAGGGTACATTCATTTTTATTTTGCTTGACAGCCTAGTATGAAAAGTGAGATTCACTGTGATGGCAGATTCTTAAGGTGGGATTATATGTATGTATGCCCAAAAAAAGCAGTGACCAAGCACTTTGTGTCTGGATATTCAACTCACAATACACCATAGATTTTTTTCCATTGGTGAGGAACATAAGCCAGGGCCGGTGACAAGCCTTGTTCAGTTCACGGTGACTTACAAGACAGCGAAATTGGCATTGAGAGAACGAACTGTGGGGTAAGTCGGGTGCCATTTCATGTCCATCGCAAATTGGCTGGATCTCTGATAAGGCATTGTTGGCAAATGAAATGGCAAACCTAGCAATATGCAGCCGCCGGCCGAGGTATCTGCGGTCCAAGATGAGTTTTCTGCCAACTTGACGGTCACTGTTGGCTATTTGAAAGACATGAGCCATTTCATCGGGTCTGGTACTCTTCCATTCGGCTAGGACTCTCTGTATATCAGGATACCTTGACCAACACTCGTGCATCCTTCAAGTCATTTTAACTGTCGCAATTGAATTTGGTGGCTCTGTTTAAAACTGATCAGTGATTCGAAAAGCATTGAATTTTTTTGGAAGAATAGATAGAGGAAATTCCATCGTCGTGAGTCGTGACGGTGATAAGACAAGCATTGATGGCGGGCGCAACACCGCCTTCGCAGATACGCACGGTTGCGAAAGCCATCGAGTGATGAACCCGCAGAGAAGTTGTAATTGCTTGAGCCTTTTCACGGTCTGCTTGGCACTGACGAGGTTGATTGTTCAAGTCCTGCCTAGGTAGTACGAGAACGAAGCAGGTAGCAATGTGACAGCAAATGCAGTGAAGATAAAGGTCACGCTGAATGAAGGACTTGCATTGAATGACTGTAAAGTCTTTCAAGACTGCGCAGCATATCTCTTGTGCGCAAACAATACGATTGAAAACGAGACTTACCGTTGTATCAACTTGAGCTCCCCGCCCCAGTCAAACTGGTAGCCCATAAGCCAAGATTCTCTGCTGCAGTTTTTATAATGATACATCAAAACGGTGTGTATCCTCTGTGTTGTACTGGAAGTCTTCTGAACAGTGCGTGAGCCCAAAGATTAATGTTGCCTCAACAAGTTCTCGCCGTTTGAGAGTGTGTTTGTTCCTGGTTTTGGACTGCTATCTAGCTGGGCATTGAAAGGACTGTTTTAATTTTGATACTTGAAGGAAGTCTGAAGAAAGGAATGAGCAAGCACAGAATCAATGACACGGCGACTCCGAATCATGTTGTCTTTGTGTTGTCTCATGTCGCATGAGACAAGTCCAGTTTAATGGTTTTCTCCAGGCCGCACCGAGCAGCAGTGTTCAGGCTCACGAGAGATTTTTGGAAGGTCGTCGGTACTCAGACAGAAGCGCTACAGATCGAACTCTAGACGGAGATTTAGGCTGAGTGGCAAGAAAGGACAAAACATAAGCAGGATTATAAGTCCAGTTCTGGCCATCATCTAAGCCGAAGTACTTTGGCGGGAAGAAAAAGTGATGACGCAAAAAATGCTGACGAAAATGTGATGGCCTGCAAGTTTTTGAAAATTGGGCGCTATAAGACCCTAACCTAAAGGTCACGGGAATTGATTTGCTGAACAGCGTCAAACGAAGACCACCTAATCATCCCATTATGTAAAAGATTCATTGCTGAAGAAATGATTTTTTGCAAAGAAATGGGCACAACGGGATTTTTTTGACCTTGTGCAAAGTGGATTCTTGTGGGTAACCAGTAAGAGTGATAATCACCTCCCAGGAATTGTGCCGTGTCAGCCAGGTGGTCCGAGGATCTCGGAATTCGCATTTAACACTTGTTCTGCTGAGATATCACTCAAATTTTTGGGGAATGAGCATCTAGCATGCAACCAGTATGTATGGATATAATGTATAGCCACTCTGAACTTTGGGCGAAAAAAAAAAAGTAATTTGAATTATGCAACATTTGGAGTCATAGAGATATTATGTTCCAAAACCGGATATTTCAAAATGGGGTGGGCCTTTGGTCTCCTCCGAAAATGAAGCTTGGTTAGTGTGGGTATTGTTTGAGGGGACAGGTCCTGGCAAGGATGTTTATATTGGCCCTACTATGACTACATGTAAACAGACAGCTGGGTATGCGGATGTCAATAAATTTGAGTTGAACTAATTTCTCAAGCAAAATGTAAATAAAGTGTAAGGGAGCCAGGCCGAGGCTCATCTGACAGAGAACCCAGAGTGATCCAAGCGAGGCAGACTCTAAGATCACTGATCTCTGCTGATATGCAAACCCAGTTCTGTCTAGACCTTGTGCACTGCCTCAATCACATGAGATCATCAAGTTGTGCAGGACATACACGGCTCCTCACAAAGAAAAAAAAATGGAAGAAAAAGAGAAAAAAAATCAAGAAATGCGCGAAAAAATGTTCCAAGCACGGATGTGGGTTCAAAGAAAGAGGTCAAAATAAGCTTTAAAGGAGTAGCTGAACAATGCTCAAAAAAAAACTGAGCACGGCAGGACTCGAACCTGCAGCCTTTTGGTGTCATCCGTGAGAAGCATCGAAGCCAAACACGCTAGCCATTGCGCCACGCACCCGTTGCAGCTTGTTGCTCACAAAAGGTCTGGAGGGAAGAAAGCATGAGATCATCATGGCCAATAGCTTCACCACTAAATTTGTCCACCTCCACCTCAAGTCCGTGCACAGTGCCCGGTCTTTTGGCGTCCGGGAGACTTCCAGAGTCCTGTCTATTTCTCGCTGACCGGATGGGTTGAATTGAACGATATCAATGGCCCATCAAATCCGCCGGTTTTTAACCCGCTTGGCCAAATTCACTAGATGTGGCCTTGATTCGTGCCGTTCTTACACTCCTCATTGACTTCAAATTGTACAGGTTCAGAAGTGCAATTCCGGTATGCATCTGGAAAGCATCGATGACGACCGGTAATGACGCCAACAGAACCATGCCATTGACAGCTCAATCTATCCACCTCTACTTACCTCAGATCCGTGCACTGTCAGGCGCTTCGCGAGAACCCCGGAAACACTGCAGTGCAGCATCCAATCTATTTGCTCGTTTTCTTCTGGTCGAATTGACCCGATTGGTGGCCCATTGTACTCCGCGTTCTTCAAACCAAAGCTATCACTTGGCCATAGTTGCAATAATTTCTCCACATGTGACTTTCATTCCTTACTGCTCTAATGCTCCACGTACAATTTTAGCCCTGCACAGGGAAAGGTATCATGAATATATGTATTTTTTCCTTCCGTGCCGCGCCACCAGCTGGGACTCTGATCAGCATTGGACTTCGAGTGAGTGATTAAAAACAATCCCAGTTGAATCCAATCCTGCCGGAGAGAAGACGCGTTAAATCCTGTGTACTGGCTTATGCTTTTCATGTCGATCTCCTTGAAACTGGGGCCGAACATCATTGATATCAGCGATTCCCACCCCAGTTCACGATCTCAGAATAAGAAATGAACAACACCGTGGCCGGAGCTCGTCCCATCAAACTTCCGCCAACCAGATCTGGCATGCGCGGCCGCTAGCACCCTCAATTCGAAGCGTAACTTTCCGGTCCTCGCAGTCGATTTTCCCGCGGTTGGCCCTACTATCCTCCCACTGACCCAGATAAACCTAAAACTCGGACAGACCGGGATTTCTCGGCGAATACTGCACGGTTTGCCGAGTTTTGGGCTCAAAATGATCGTAAAGATATACTCTGAGGGTCCCAGGTTCAATAATTGCAATATTCGAGCTGTGTTGTATCTGCCTTCGCTGAGGGCCATCAGGTAGGTGGAAATTGGCTGATTTTTGGTATCTTTAGCTTTGGAAGGCTTCGTGTACAGCTTTAGTACTGTCAATTTTGGATCACAGCATGCATCTACTTATATTATATTCATGTACATGCTATATCTCAAGGGTATAGCTGGTTTCCACAGTTTTTTTTTTTACGGTAATACAAAAAAGGTGTACCTGCCAAATTTGATTGAACTGCTGTTATAAAGTTCGTCTCTTCTATCAACCTACTGAATGGTTCTACGAAAGTTTTTTTTGCCGTCAAAGATACTCTATATAGAGAGAATTTACCACAGCGACTTTGGAGCCACTCTCATGAAAGGCGGCTTCAAGATGGAACCGGCAATCAGAACTTGATGGTTTACCTAGAACTCGGACCTGCCCGAAAGAACGGCATTGTTCACTCAATACTGAACCGTTTCCCTTGAAGTAAAATTAGAAACCGGGGTAAAAGCCAAAAGACTGGCGGTCTAGGTATTCAGCTCGGTCACAAAACCTTTCAATAAAATGATATTGGCGGTTCTTTCTTAGTTGTCCGAGTTCTGGAGGGACGATAGTATCCGGTTCCAGCGCAATCTCAGGATAAATGGAGCCAGATAATGAAGGTCGACGTTCAGGCCTGGTCCCATTTTTTTCCGTTGGCCCAACTCAAGAATAAAATATAGATATGAAGATACACTTGCTACTTGTGAATTTTAATGTGTGCTATCGCCCTTACCCTCCGCCATCGCGTACAAGTTGTCCTTGTCCCCAGACTCATCAACCAACGCCCGCAGCTTGCCCTTCGGGTTCTTGAGCAAGACTCTGGGAGCGTCGAATTCGACCTATGAACTATTGTCAGTCCAGCTGATGAAGAGAAAGCAAAAGCACTGACGATGCGGCCCTCATCAAGCACCATCTGGAAGAGGTAGGAATCAGTCGTAACTCACTAAGATCCCGAGCGACTCACAATTTTGTCCGAATCTAAAATGGTTTGCAAGCGATGAGCAACAGTGATAATGGTAACGTCCGGCTTGAGTTCAGTGCGCAAGGACGTCTGGATGATGCCGTCCGTTTTGTAGTCGATTGCAGACGTGGCTGGAGAGATTGTCAGTAACAGCTTACCATGCGAGGTGTGATGGTAGAGTACCTTCGTCTAGAATAAGTAGCTTGCTCTCACGCACTATTGCGCGGGCTACAGAGGAGAGGGATCAGAACAGCCATACGTTATATGATTGACCACGCACCTAACGCGAGAATTTGACGCTGCCCGACCGAGAGATTGCTCCCACCGGAAGAAATGACGCTGTCTAGTACGAGACGGCCCTCATCCATCTCCTCTTGGAGGGAGGAAAGTCCAGCGGCACGCAGCGCGCTATTGAGAGTCGCGTCGTCGTACTGGTCGAATGCAGTGATATCAGCTGGATTAATTAATCCTGACTTAGATCTTCCAAGAGGCAGTAATTAATCTTGTGCTGTATTATTCAAGACACTATTCTAGATTAATCTACACTACAAGCTTGGATTATTTTCTACTACGGATATAATCTCATATGTATGGTAGGATTATTTTGTGTTGGACAAAGTAATCTTATCTACAGGAAACGATGAAACGAAGCGACGATTAACCGAGCCGGTGATGGGCGAGGATTAATCTGGAGCCAGCGAGTCGAGATTAATACACGACTGAACGCGCAAGATTAAATCTATGTCGTAGGCGATTAATCCAAGTAGCTCAACATTTGGATTAAACCACTCACCAGCGTTGCAAGGTTTTGATCCTCAACGGATTAATCTGCACGAAGATTAATCACAAAACAGTACCTTAACTCATCAGACCTACAGAGTAATACACGACTGTGAACACGCAAGATTAAATCTATGTCGCAGGCGATTAATCCGAGTAGCTCAACATTTGGATTAAACCACTCACAACGGATTAATCTGCACGAAGATTAATCACAAAAACGGTGCCTTGACTCATCAGACATACAGAGTTGCCTTTTAAAGTAACTGAGTTGCCTTTTAAAGTAACGAGTGCCTTTTCATTCGACCACCACCAGATAGTCCTCCTGTACATGTCCCATATCATTATCAGCTGCAACACCTGCAGCAGTAGAGGCGTACCTTGTAGTCAGGCTCCTCCCGTGAGTCCCGTTCTCGTTCCTCTTCATCTTCCTTTGCCTTGTTTGCCTCGGCGATTGCGTCCTGGGCAACGAGCTGCGGTAGCTTCACCCACTCGGTTTCGCACTGGTGGGCAAGGTCCTCGTAGATTGCCGCCTGCCTGTACGCGTACGCCCGCCATCCTTGGTCATCGTGATAATCTACGGGTCCGCCGGTCAATGGCGCGGCTGATGTGCAATGAAAAGGAGATGTACCTCCGCGTTTCTCCATCCCAGCCATCTTCGTCCATATCTCGCTCGTCTGCGTAAACCACCGTTTTGCGCGCTTGAACTCCTCCTCGAGAATCTCGATTTCCTCCTTGGCACGTTTCATCAACGCCCGTTCTCGGAACCATTGCACTCTGTCCACTGTCTTCCAGTCAGCGCGCACCACAAACATGGTCGGGTGGATGAACTTACTCTCTTTCTCCCACACTACTACTCCCTTGTCGTCGAGGCCAGACGGCCGCTGCGCGGACCAGAACCAGGGCTCACGGTCCTTTGACCGTGTCGACTTCAGTGCCTTGGACCCCTTCCCCCACTGTTCCTTCCGCCCCAGCGGCTGCAGCGTGGGATCATCCTTGGGCAATCCTAGCGCCCTCAGGCCACGCCACAGTCGTCGGTATGTATCGCCCGCCTGTTGGACGTTGTTGGCCAGGGACTTGAGGAAGTTCCCTGCCCGCGTCGTCGCACCCGTACCGTAGATATCGGTCATCTTCATCCCTGTATTGAAGTTGTTGGTGCGGATGGCGGTACGCAACTCGCCGAGCGCATCATGAGCCTGCCCCTCGCGCAGCGCGTATTCTACTGCGGCGAGCTCCGTGAGTTTGAGCCGCTCGCGATCGGCTGCACAGAAATCGGAAGGCAGGCAGAGCCGCATCTTCTGCGGCTCGTCGGAATCCATCGGCGGCATGTACTTGTGCAGCTCCGGCACACGGTCAAGCTGCAATTTCCGCAAAGCCTGAATATCGGAGTCCAGCTGTTGCTTCGCAGCTAGCTTCGCCTCTGGCGCTGTGTTGGGCGAGGCGTTCATGTGCTTGAGACGCTCCCTGCTCAATTCGGTCAGTTTAGAAATCGAAATCCGCGACAGGAGTCAGACACCCACCTGTGCCTTTCGGCCATTAAGGCAGCACTTATTAAACCGACATCTCCCGTTTTGTGCCGTTCCGCCTCTGTGGCCGCTGCGGCCGCTTCCTTAGCCAACAGCTTCGTAAACGCAGCGGCATGGGTAGGAGGACCTAGCTATCGGTTAGCCCGCGAGGTCTCAGACAGACGATGCCCCGTACCCGACTTCATGTTCACCTGGAAAACACTATGCCACACGCCTTTGTTGTCGCGTCGCGGATTTTCATCCTTTTTTTCCCACTCCAGAACGGCTTCTTTGTGTTGTTCACGCTGGAACTTGTCGATTTCGCTAAAGGAGGCAGTCCTGGCTCGCTCTTCAGATTTCGCCACCCTGTAGAGCCGTGATAGGGCGCTGGCTAGAGGATATTCAATGTCAGTCCTGTCTCAGGGGCGGCGTACGAGTAATGAGGATACATACGGAGCTTGATCGTCTTCTTCCAGTTCCAGTGGTCGGACGTCCCGTCGATAACGTCGTGCCGGTGCCCTGCGTTCATCTCCCGCGTGCTCCCGGCGGTCAGATTGTGTTCCGCCC